CTGGGCTGGCGCTGTGAAGGTATAGCCCGTCTTGTCTCCTCCCCCAGCCGGCTGAGGGAGGGAGACCGGCTCCTCGCCCCCCTCCCCATGGTCCGTACCACCACGTTGCCATTGGGGCTGCCGCTGGGCATCTGCTGGAGCAGCTGGGGTGACAGGCTGCGGTGTAATGCTGCCGAGCCAGGCTGCGAGTGACCCTGCTGGGGGGCCCGGTGCGGCTGGGGCTGGGCGTGTTGGTGCTGCTGCTGCTGCAGGTGGGGGCCCCAGTTGCCAGGCGAGCCGTGCTGCTGCTGGTACTGACTGACCGTTAGGTTGTTGTCGCTGTTGGAGCGCAGGAGGACCCGCGGTGCCGAGAGCGAGGACGGGGACTGGTCGGTTCCGCTGCCAGTAGACGGACCCCGGCGGCGTTTGGAGTAGGCTGGAGCCTCGCGGAAAGGCACTGCAGAGGAATGAGGGAGGAAAAAAAAGAGGTTCATTCATATTTAGCCATCGTGATGTTTGTGAACTTTTAAAACGTGATATGGAAACGGAGTGTTGGAGAGAGCAAAATATCAAAGGTTCAGTTACAACCTGCAACCTTGGATACATGTCATACCCCCCCCCCCCCCCCACTTCCTGTCTGGATCTACCCAGCATTCAACTGTAAGACAAAGATGGAACTGTAAGACAAAGTGCGCTGGTACAGCTCAGAGAAGGAGAAGGAGAGGATGTAAAAATAGCCAACCTGTCCGTTCCAATGTGTTTTTTTTATGTCTCAATGACGTCCATCAGGACAGGAGACTACAGACACATGAAGTGTGTCCATAAATTGATAATTCTCCGGCGTTTCTCTACACCTCTGGTCATTTTTCTACCCTCATCGATCCATCAAAATCTCATCAGCTCGGCCTAAAACCTTGAAAGGATGCACCCACACACACACACACACACACACACACACACACACACACACACACACACACATTGATGACGGTTGTGATATGGGAGCTCCAGCTGATGATCAATCATCATGATTTGATTCTTGAGTGTTTTTGTAGGTTTTTTTTTAGCTTTTCCTACAAATATGGTGAAATAATGAGGTTTACTGTGATGGTCACAGGGGGATTAGCTGCAGAAGGTTACAGGTTTGTGATGGTTTAAAATATAATTAAAAATAACGAGGTTAAAAGATAATCAAACACATGAGCATTAAATGGTGTTAAACCTGGGAGATCTGGAAATCAGGATGAAATGACTGAGTTTGAGTATTTTTATATTCTATTTCTTTAAGCTCCCATATTCTCCTCACGTTCACCTTTCATGTCGTCAGTGTGTGAAACCTTTAGAGCAGCTTTACATGATCTCATTTATCTGATAGTGGCGTCAGTAAAACCCTCATTTCAGATGCCGTCTCTTTAAGACCCTCCTCCCCACGTGCCCACTCTCTTCTGATTGGCCAGCTCTCTGGAAGACTTCCAGGAGGGCAGAACGCTGCAGGGCTGCCAGGGGAGGGCTGCTCTCCAGTGCTGGGAGAAGAGAGTCTATGTAAGAGCTGCACACACAGAGGCTTGAAGCCGTGTGATGAAATTCTTGGTTTCATATCGGGGAACTATGGCATGACTTGCAGGACTAGCTGTTTAGCGCCCTCTACAGACTCATCCTGGGATTTCTCCAACATACATTTACCTCATGATCTGAAACTTTGTCCACGTTTAGTTTGAACGTCCTGCATTGTAACGCTACATGTGAGTTTAAAAATGAGGATCAGCAGAATAGGTCGACTTTAAGTATTCACTTAATGTGGTCTGATGGAACACTAAGAAGTTTTATATTTTGTGCGTTTTTGTTGAAATCTACAGAAGAGGATTAGAGACAGATGTGATGAATAAATAATGATAGGAGGAGGATTTTTTTTTGATCCATTATGCACTCTGAGGATAAAGTCGAGAAAAAAGTCTAAATGTTGAGAATTAAGTTGAAATACAACCTCGTGAGATTTCAACTTTATTCTCACCATTTTTACTTTTTCTCAACTTTTCAACATTTTTCTCAAAGTGCATAAAAAAAAAAAAAATCTCCCTCCTGTCATTATTTATCAATCGATCATTATTTCAACAGCACAGATTCATAACAACTGTTATCTCACAAGAGCATATGGGATAATATGCAGGAAGGATTTCTCCTTTGTATTTTTCCTGCACACTTCCTCGCTGCTGAGGTGGAGGTCGGAGCAGGCCGTGTATTTATTTCTCACGCCTGGTTTGGATCGTCTTCCGTAAAAACCAGCATAATCTATATTTCTCCTTCATGCGCATTAAAGCTGAAGAAAGTTGTGAAATGTAACGAGAGGGAAGTACAGATATTTGCATTAAACATGTACTTAAGTTAAGTCTAGATATCTGAAATTATTTTTAATTTGAAATTTGTGGAATGCACATTTAAGACAAACTGTGTTGCTAAGTTAATCGGGGAGTGACGTCACTAGATGGCGCCTCATTTTTACTTTTGAAGTATGTTTGATGTGTCGTGTGGTTGTGCACTTTCTGCTAACTCTGCTGTCTCTGACGCTCTCCAAGTGTTCACCAAGAGGCACCGTTACAGAGTTTATACAAACAAAGTTTTTCTGCAGGACAACTTCCAAACTCCTGATGAATTGATTCCCTTTCAAGTGTGAAGCTGCACATTGATAACACATCCTGACAGTGATAGACTGAGGCTTCCTGCTGCACACTCTCTCTCTCTCTCTCTCTCTCTCTCTCTGTCCATCATTAGCATGATTATCGGGATGACATGAGCACATCTGAGCTCCTCTGGCTCGTTCCGCTCTGCCTGAGCTCCTCTGTCGGACTGTTCCAGGAAAGGAGGTTGGTCTTGATTTCCCCACGGATACTTTCTTCCATTACACCGCTCCATGACGAGCCTGCAACTGCAACCAGCGACCCTCGTGATCCTGCGAGTCACAGCGGAGCAGGCAGAGCAGAACACGGCCTGCAGCATTTCCAATAACAACCTCCTGATTATCGGCTAATTAATGCGATGCTAACCTCGGCTAGCATCCCTGTGCTGCAGCTTCCTGCAACGGGGATTCACTGAGTCATTATCACTCTCCCAGACCAATATCTCAGACCTTCCTCTCTCCCTGTGTGGACTGCAGGCGTGTTGATGAAGAGAAGAGGTGATAACATCTAATGAGCTCGCACATTTAGGAGCTACCAGGCAATCCGCGTGTGTCCCTAAAGTGTGTGTGTGGCCCTCCGAGCTAGCGGCGCAGGTTTTAACTTCAGCTGAACACACACTTCTGCAGCGACTCACTCTCTTCTCTCTGAGTCTCACACAAATTAATTATCAAGTGAAATGGAGGGGGGAGTCAACACAAGCAGAGCCTCTTATGTAAGAGTTGGAAAAGCAATCAGTGAGTCGATATAATTAAGCGCTGGTGAAGCTGAGACTGCGGTTCAGAGGTCGGAGAGTCTGGAAGCACTCCGCGCGGCTGGACGATGGTGTTGACATTAAGCTAACACTCGGAGCTGTGAAAGGACGACAGATCAAACGCCGCTCGTCTCTCAAGTCGGTGTGTCCAAAATGATTTGCGCTTATGCTAACGAGAAATAAAGGTGATTCTGGAGATCAACTCCCAACTCCAACCAGCCTGACCGGGAACCTGTGGAGGATCATCCTAATGGTGTTCCTTTAAATCTTAAAAGCTTTTTAAAGAATTCAACAGTCTACAAAAGAGGAAAATAAGAACATGAAACAGCCCATCCTTGAAGAACGTTTAGTTTGTATCCAACAGAAAAAGAAGGAGCATGCCTGTTTTGTGTTTTGAGCATTTGAGTGTCTATCATTGTTCTGAACTGTACAGCTCCCCCTCTCTCTCCCTCTCTCTCTCTCGTATGTCCATCTGTTACATACACTAATGTAACTTTTGCATCTTCAAGGTAGATCAATTAGCTTTCTACAAATAAAATACAGACTTCTCCTAAAGTGAAGCTGCTCCATCGTCCCTTCTGGGCCTCCGTACATGTTGTGGTGGTGACTGTGTCTGCAGAGACTCTGTCCTCTGACTGGATTTTACTGTTCTGCTGTGTTCTGGTTGACTCGGGATGTTTCTTGGTGGAGCTGGTGTGTTTCCTCCAGCCAATGACAGAGCAGCAGGTGAGTTTAGGAGTGGATACAATTCAGAGATTGGACAAGATTCAAACCGGTGAATATGACGGACGTGGACATAGCAGCAAAGAAGAGAAAATATAATCAGAGTGAGGAGAAACACCAAGCGGGAGGTGAATCTTGTGTTGGCTTTTACCCGTGGAGTTGGTCTGAAAATGAAATTACCGGTATATTCATCCAAAAATTTGAACTGATCTGATTTTTAGAATGCAGCAGAGGGGAAAAGAAGGTTTCCATGGTGTGACAGAAGCTTTATGCGGTGGTTCATAGACGCTACTAAACAGTCAGGGGAACAACAGCGCCATCTTTCTTTGCTAATATCTGCCTAAATTAGGACTGAGAATGAGAAGGAAGAGAGCTGAAATTCTAATTCTGGATGATATGGTGATTGGAGGGCTAACCCTGCAGGGACAGAACTTCCTCAGAGTCAGGTTATCTTCAGCTAAGCTGCAGAGACGAGGGATGTAACAGCTGCACATCACATGCTAACTGTTGTTTTGGGGCTTTTTTTTAATTTAAGAATGATTTTTCCTGCTCACACATGTGAAGTCAATGCTCCTGATTCCAAACAATCATAATCAGAATAAGAACTTCAACTGAATCAAAAGGCAACATAAAGGTCACATATTATTCTAAATCCACTTCACCATGTTTATTTAACTCTAATATGTGTCGGTAGTCTGTCTACAAACACCCCAATGATGAGAAAAGTCCATCCTCTCCATCTTCTGCCTGCTCCACTTTTCACAAAATGTGTGCTCAAACAGGACGTTTGGAGATTTTCCCTTCATGACATCACAAAGGGCAGTAACCCCTCCCCCAGGTGGGTGACACTCCCACAGCTAGGTGTTTGTTCTGTCCTCTGAGTCTGCCTTCCTACCGTAAACATTAGGACATGGAGCGAGAAAGCCAGAGCCACCCAAGCCCTTCCAGAGAGGGGGCGTGGTCAGATACAGCTCATTTACATATTTAAAGGTACAGACACAGAAACAGCCTGTTCTGATCAGGGCTGAAATAGAGGGGTTTATAGACATGATCAAATACAGGATCAGAGTGGATTTAGAAAAAGAAACTTTACACACATGTTTTGAGGAGCTCTGAGACTTATTTACACTGAAGAGGAGGAGAATATGTGACCTTTAAAAAACTGTGATCCGAGTTCCAGATAATTATATCTAAAGTGAACGAGGACACAGTTGTCTTCTATCAATGAGTGTATTTACATGGACTTACGTTTCCCCATTATGAGCCATATCCCGGGTTTGATCATATTCAGGCTTTTACATGCACACA